GAGATCAACGTCAAGGCCACGAAGTGACTTGTAGCTGAAGGTCACTATGCTGCCAGGGAATGAAGGTCACCGTGCGTGACCGTGAAGGTGACCGAGCAAGTGAGGGGTAGCCTGGAGAGTGGCTACTGAGAAACTGAATGGGGGGCAGGATGAAATCCCTGGCCCAGTAAGTCAGAATGAAGGGGCCAAAAGGCGGAAGATGGGGATGGTGGTGGGATTGACGATAATGCACTGTGCACTGTAGCGTGATAAAAAAAAAAACTGAATGAATGAGTGGTAACAATAGAGACAAGAAATTTAGGTGACGCTAAGTGTCGTGTGCAAGTGAGAACTGATTGGCTGCCAAATTAAATTAAGCGCTTAATTAAACAGGGTTGCAAAGCAAATCCTCCTAGCAGTGAGCTAAGTGTCCCTACAAAATATATCTGTGACAACACAGATCTCACTTTGTAAAGACACACCGCACACAGAAGATATAAATTGAATTACATTTAATAAAAAAGCACATATAAAATCAACACATACAAACCAACAAACTTACTAATTATGCAATGATAAAAAACAGTTAACTCTACAAAAAACAAAAAATCATATTTCTAATAAAACTATAAATTGGGCAAGGGGTCCCTTCAGTCTAACTTACCAGGGCCAAGGGCATAAGTGAGATCAACGTCAAGGCCACGAAGTGACCTTGTAGCTGAAGGTCACTATGCTGCCCAGGGAAACAACACAGTCAGTGTATTGTCAATGCTTGTTTCTCAAAATTTGAGGAACTGTTTTTCTTAAAAATTGGCACATTGTGTAGTTGTTAATACTACCAGTATATACCTTTTAACAATATATCACTGCTTTTAATGTGCACAGTGACAAGCATTGATAATTCAGTTTTAGTCAAATGCAATGTGCAGCACAAGTCGCATATATATATATATATACATATGTCTAACAAAGGACTCAACAAATAAATTGGCAATTTCAATGCAGTATGACTGGAAGTGCACAGACTGATAAAATGTGATTATAATCACACATACATTAAATATATTTTACTCAAGCTAATCCATAATGAGATAATTATTAGAAATGTTTCAGATTAAATCTGCTCAAACTCAAGTAATCATTCTATTCCACAAGTAATAAAACTATCATTTTAAGTTTTATTACTATATTGACGATGTTATAACCACAAGAAAAATATTTGGGAGAACAATGACAGGACAGACATTCATTCCTTTTACACCTTCCCTATTATTCAGATTATAGTAGGATAAAAAGTCATAGTGTACAATGAAAACAGCATTTATTAAGAATTTTAAATAGCATGGTAATTATGTATTTATTAAACTCACATTACTTAAGCTACTGTAACAATTTCAAAATTCAGTAAAAAGTGCTAGAAAGCAGATACTGCAATAAATTGACATGCATTGTAAAAGATAAAGTCATTTATACATACAATGAAAACAGCAATTATTTAAAATAGCTGAATGCTAAACATTAAATTTTTAAATATTAATTATTACATTTTTAATGATCATTTTTTTCTAAAATGTATTCTTCCAAGGCAATGTTACATGCAAATTAAGTTGCATGTTAAATATGATGCTAAATCAGAAGGGTTATTAAAATGTTTTTTTTTTTTAACTAGCATGTTATATATCTTATACACTCGCTATTTTCATTAAATTAAACAAAAAGATATTATAGGAATTAAATTTTTGGCATTTCCTTCTTTTAGTTCAAACAAGCCAAACTTGCTGTGAGAAATTCATTGTAGCAATGTATCAATTCAAGCTCTAGTAACTATGGTGACTCAATATAAACTTAACATGAATATTAAAATGTATTATTGAAAAAATAATAATCTCATGCTGTTCAGACAATGAGATGAATTGAAAGTAACATCAGTTGTCATTAAAAGTCTTGAACACATTGTAATAAAATGTAGACGGAATAATCCCTACAAATTCAGGGCAAGTTCATTTCTTTACTTTCTAGATCAAATTTGTTTCAAACAAATATAATACCATCATTCGCTATCATAATTCCTTTCAGAAGTTCTGTTCTGGAGGCTTGAATGTTTCAACTTTTAGAGAAGGATCTTGGCTGACCAACCAGTATGTCAGGATTTCACCTTTGCCCTAATTAAAACATACAGTAAAATGCTTATTACAGTATGAAGTCATCCAGACTAACGACTTCTCCACTGTGGTGAACATACTATTGTTTAAAAGATGTCATTGGTAGAAAGAAAGAGTGACACAGTAGAATTAACAATTGACAATTTTCTGATTGTGCTGTTTCTGTCCCAAAGCTAAGTGATTTCTAATGTGTTATCTGCTACAAGAACTTAGATGAAATTGAAAACATAAATTGTCCCAAACAATGAAGTTTCATTGTACTGGTGTAACCTTTATAATCAAAATTCATGAGCATGGTAAAGAATTATGAATGTAGAAAAAATATGCTTTGACAATTATTATATAAACTTATCTTTTTGAAAACCATGCACGATAAATATGCATGTAATTTATACAGCCATGGTACAGTACTTATTACAGTCTGCTCTGCCTTCAAATCACATTTAAGGTTTGGGAGATTGATTCACACGTGTACCAGCAACATCTAGGGAGACAGCAGTGACTTACAAAGTAACTTAATTTGTGAACTGACAACTAACCTTCATTGCAATGAGACCCCGCTCTTTCAGGATGTATCCACCAAGTTCTTCCAGTACTTCCCGACACTGAGGACTAACGTGTATCTTATGAGGCAATCCATTAGACTCCATACGTGATGAAGTGTTCATAGTGTCACCAAACAAACAATAACGAGGCATAGTTAGACCAACAACTCCAGCAACAATAGGTCCTATGTACACAATTTATATAGAAAGAAACATTTAATATATATTACCAGACTCTTCCATGGCCAGCTTACATGTTGTATATTGAACAGACTTCTATATATCATATTTAAATTGCAAACCAAAGAATTATCTTGGTGTCAGTTATGTTCAGACAGGATATACTCGCAATAATGCTGCAGTACTATGCATATATTAAATGCTGAATACTGGTAACCGAAAAAAAAACAATTTTAATTATTGATTATTAAAAACCAGTGATCATGAACTTCCTGACAATATTACCAAAATAAGAGTGAAAAAGTGTTTCTTTATTGAAAAACATCAGTGTTCGTGTGGATTCAACTCGCAGTAGAGTTTTATAGAGCTTTCAAAGGAGGACCGGTCGAGAAGTATGAAAAGTAGCGACTTGACGCTTGACTTGAGTCAGGCCGCCGTCACCCTTTGTATCTCAAAAAATTGACAGACAGTCGGTGTTAAATTGTCTCCTCTAGCCCTTTAACGGCAATTTAGGTACAAGATGCAACAAAACATTACCCGATAGTTCTTGTTTGATGACCATACCTTTTTTTCAGAAATTTGTGAGCAATAAGCATGAAATAAAACCATAGGCTAAAAGTCAAGGAAATCAGGTGATAAGTTTTATTGGTAGTACAATGGTTCATTTATAACGTTTTTGACTGACTGACCTGAGTGCATTCCAATACGGAGTTGCAACATTTCACCTGGTCTGTGGCGAATTTTAAATGTGTAAATGGATTCCAGGAGATGGCATGCAGCAGATGCAATCTGACCAGCATGGGTTTTTCCGTTGCGCACTGGCAGTCCAGATACTAAGACATAGGCATCACCAATGGTTTCAACTTTGTACACATCATAATTGGAGATAATAACGTCAAACATAGTGTAGAGATCGTTTAACATATTAACAATCTGTGAGAGAAAATACAGACCAATTAGGAATACCTTTAAAACAAGTATAATTTATTAATAGACAGTATTAATATTATTTATTAATAGACAGTATTAAAACATTCATTAATACATAATAGTAATTTTAACCACTCAAATATGTTTAAAAAAAAACTTATATACATATCTTAATTATCAAATTGTATCAAATACAGTTTTGCAGACATCTTAATTCTCAAAGTAGTTTTATAGACGTCTTAATCAACATAGTAGTTTTGCAAATGTGTGTTTATCACTGTTTGAATTGTATTCTTAGTTATCCTCTAACTATGAGAAACAGTTTTGAAAGTAAGTTTACTTTGAATTAAACAATGATTTTATATATATTTTGCATGAACATAATTTGCTCTTGATTGACATATATGGCAACAATTATACAGCAGGGATTTTTTTGAACAAGGGAACAGCGCCCTCATGCCATGGCCATGCGCCCCTTATCCTGGGGAGCAGATTTTCTGGCAAACCATAAAATTCTGATTGACCAAGTATCACTTGTGGCCACAGTCTTCAACTGTGACCTGTCTGATAGTAATTTGGCTCCAATATAATGCTCCATTTATCTTAGAATTATCAAAAACTCCACACCCTATCTCCCCCACTTGGTGGCGCCGCTTAATTGCAGTGCTCCCTCTTGCAGTTTTTTTCTAGAAAAATCTCTGACAAAACTATTGTGTTCTAAAAATATTTTTTCTCTTCTTCTCTTCTGTATGCTTGCCTTAATAAAAGAGGTCTTTCCACTAACTTCAGTGAACCTATCAGTTACAAGAGAACAGCACATACATTTTTATACGTTGTAATGTTTGTTTTTCTGAATTGCTGTTTTGAACTAACCTGTATAGGTGTACTAATAGCAGACAAGGCGGTGAAACCAACAAGATCAGAGAAGTATATAGTCACCAATTCAAATTTCTCAGGTTCTATCCGTTTTCCCTTTGACAAATCCTTGGCAATAGATCTAGAAGGAAGTCACAGACTTTAAGTGAAAAAAGTAGAACATATATATTCTCAACCTCCCTCATCACTTAATAATAATAATAATACATTTCTGAAGATCATCCTGTGTTTCTTGTGGAAATGTAATGTCTTGTATGATTTGTTGGCATATTAATTTATATTGAGAGCATACATGTATCATGACAAAGTGCAGTTCATCTTCTATTTCATTCCATGTACATTGTTTGCAAATTCTGTTTGCAAATTCTGCACATTGTAGACTGGCCATAGCCAGAAAAGCTATAATTACTAGTATATATACTAACTATGTTACTCGATTACTCTAACTTGATTAATTCGCGGTCCCTATTAATTCGCGCACCCATTTTATTTTCGAACGCTAATTTTTAAATGTATCCTTTTAATTTGCGGTGTTCAAAAACATGTTTAAAATTGTATCCTATTAATTCGCGGGCCAGAATTAAAGTGGATAACTCAGAATATATTGCATGAAGACATTAAAAATATACATTTTGTTTGAGTTTTTATGTTATCAGTACTTGGTGTAGCCGCAATCGCAGACGATCTCCATCATCACAGCCTTTCAGTTAGCAAGCAGTTTAGGTTCGGTCATTCCCCCACGACACTACAAATGTTGGGCAAGAGAATTACTTAGTCGATAAATATCCATCGGTCAGCACATTGATTACGAATTTCCGTGATGGAAAGCTTAGTACGGGGCTTTTCGTCGCTGGTCCACAGGGTTTTTGGAAAGTGATTTTATTCTATGACGTCATTTAAGTGAACCGCCCTATGCTGCGTGAATTGACGTTTTTGATTGGTCAAAACAATCATGTGAACAATGAACACATGGCTACAAAAATGCAATCAACAGGGCAGAAGACCACCTTATCCGAAGCAACACTGAAATAGCAGAAATCATTGCTGATCTGCTTTTAGACGACAACAACGAAGATGGTGTTTGGTTTGACGGCTTCGCTGCCAACGACCTGTCGAACCTGTTGTGTCTGACGGTACTGTCTAGAAAAATTAAAAAAGGGTGGTGCAGCCAGGCGGCTACTTTGTAGCCACCTTTGCTATTTCACTGTTCCATTTCAAGTGTAACATGGTGTGTGGTCCTTGACGCAGTGCGTGTTCTCTGCCCGACTATACGCCATGAATGTCGCTAGCCACGAGTCTCAGAAGCACTAAAACAACGTCCTGTAATCGTGTTCATTGAAAAACAAAACAAATCACTAATAAATTTATGAAAACAGCTCCTTTTTGAATCGTTCAAAAAGTACTCTTTTAATTCGCGCACCAAAAACCAATAATTTCCGTTTTTAGGCTATTAATTAGCGCACTTTAAAAAATAATTATTTTTACTACTGCGAATTAATCGAGTTTTTACAGTATATTGCATAGATGTTTCTGGACACCAGTAATCATGATTATGGTTAGCATGCATGTACATTGTAAAAACATGCATTTAGGTAGATTACACATGTATAAGTAGGGGGTACACAAAACACCAATAAACTTCAAGGTCATTTTTCTGTCAATTTTTATTTCAATGTTTAGCATAGAAACTCGGCTGATCTGGGTTTTCTATGCTATTTAGAGCTGACTACCGGTACTGGTTGTTTTGTAAAGTCAAATTGGAGTCAATTATTTGGTTGTTGTAAACTGAAGATTATGACATGTGTGCATTAAACACGATTCAATTCAAACACTAATGCGTAAAAATATAGAATTGATTTACCAGAAAGCCAGAATTAAAATGAAACTTGGAAATGGAAAAAAAAAAAATGAAAATACAATATAATTAACAAGTCATGAATGACACTGCCTTCGCTAGTTGTCATTCTAAAGTTGCGAGGACATAAATTGGCAAACATGATTTCTATGGCATTTTCAAGTAATCATTTTCAAGTTAATTAATATTAACACTCTCCATCCAGGTCAGCATTATTCTCAGCAAGGAAACCAGATAGCACCAAACCAGTACAACAGGTAAAATGACAAAGAAGTATACAAATCAGATCTGCAAATATGTAGAGTTAGTGTTGTGTCTGTTTGGATAAACTAGTTTGTGGCCCTGGATTAGTTTCAATATCTCTAATAAGGACAAGATTACTTCTCATACGACAATGATACAAATAAAGTGCAAATATCAAGAAAAATATTATCAAGTTTTTATTATCATACATTAATATTAACAAATCGTGTGAAATTTTATGTACAGAGAAACACATATTTATGCTTTGATTGACAGAACTTCTCAAAGTAAAAAAAGAGGACCTGCGAAACTTTATACAATTGTCAGACACGCAGCG